AGACTACACGACGTCACATAAAAACAATTATAATTTATCTTGAATTTCAGCGGAATAGTCGGTATAGGGGTGGACTACGTGCTAGACGTCAGGGCTTCGATTAACGGAAACAGAAACAGATATTTCACTCCTCAGCGTCCAGACTGGGTCTGGTGCCCACCCGGTACCGGAGACTCCCAGGGGTAATGCGGCCGTGACGTGAAGCTGATCAGTCACTCTATTTATTGCAGAAGCCAAGATCGGTGGAGCTATTCCTCCACGGCCTCATACGTCTTCATGTCGTGGAGCTTAATTAGGCATAAGAAAACTTTACATTTGGCGTTTAAATTTCAATGGCATTTTCTCGAAGTAACTGTCAGGTTTATGTATCGAGACGGTACGGCGTCAAAGGGTAGGATGATGAATGGTGAATTGGCAAGGATTTTAAGGGACTCAATCGTGGCCTAATCGGCATTTGCCTGCAGGACAGGAATGTGAACCTTCCTAAGGTGGCATTACCGCTAAGCCAACCCGCTCTGCATATGTACCCGAGCAGAAGAGAAGCCCATGTGATTCTGATTATTGATAAAGCTTCTGGTTGCCTATAACACTTAGCAAACCTGCGGTCTGCATAACGTGACAGAAAGCCAATAGAGCGCCTGCTGTAGGCAACCCGCTCGAGCCTCGTAATTAAAATTTTATTGATCCGCTTTGATCACAAGTCCCGAGATCGACCCTTAAACCTGCTTCAGGTCACAAGGTTGAGAGTGGTGGATTGCAGGAAATGGAAACGTGCTCTCATCTAGAGCGAAGTTTTAAGGATGCGTGGAAGCTATACCTCCACGTCCCCACCTTTCACCAGTACGCAGTAGACGTAATGTTTCCTGTGGGGTATGAACACACTACCCAACTTCCGGTACTGTCTGCTGGTGTTTCCTGTCTCTGACATAACCGATATCCGTGTAACAGGCGATATTTTCCTACTTCTGATAACGCCGTTTCCAGACTCCATGTATATGTGTTATTTCTTGCGCACAATTTCACAATTTATTCCTACACAGACCGTAGTTTACTTTTAAATTTCCTCTTTACTGCTTTTAGTGATTAATTTCGTGCTTTTTGATTCTCGGAGTTTCCGACTAATCTACAGTACACATTTGCAACATTGGCATGCTTTGGCGATTAAAGTTCATTGCTGTACGCGGGAGAGATTCAGATATACAAGTGAAGCAGTGCAGCGCAGTAACAAAAGGAGAATTAAGGTCACAGAGGGATTAAACCTTCGACGTGCAACAAATATAGTGCCACAGTACACAGGCAGGCATTGAAAGCAAGGGTAGTTATCCGGTATAGAATTTTCAATTATTTTATTTGTTAAAAATGTTCATGTACACGCAACCCGCAACCGCCTGTTGTTTCCAAAAATAAAAAGAAAATGGAGTGTGGGATATTGATCAAAATAACTAATGTTGGGTTTGAGTGTCTCACGGGGAAGTGAACAGTACAGCTTTCTGGCTTGTAACGCCTTGTAGAAAACCTTACGTTTCGAAGGAACATATATCTTCTGTCTTCAGGCTCGAATAACAGCCCAAGCAAGAAGCCACTAGAAGCAGTCAGTACTCCCTACGTGCTACACAACACTGCAGCTCAGAAAGCCACGTTCTTCCAAATAACCCATTTCTATTCAGGTTAGGAGCTGCTAATATGGTGCCAGCTGTCTCATCATTTCGTATCTACAAATAACTACAATTATAGAGAGTAGAATGTAAATATGCTATTAATTAAATAAAAAAAGTTTGTTCCTAAAATCTGAACACTAGGAAGATATCTGAAATGAAGATGGAAGGATAATATTACTAATATTCTCAGAGAACTTAGGTACGAGGATGTGGATTGGATTACTATGGCTCAGGTTAGATACCAATGGTCTTCTCGTGTCAAGAGGGTAACAAAACAGCAAATTCCATAAAAATGGCGGGACATTTACTGAGAGATCAGGAAATTAGCTCTTTTGGAAAGGACTCAGCACCGTGGAGTTTGGTAATGAATGCATATACTTCAGTAAACTGATAACAGATCACCCGTCTTTTCAAGGCTTAAGTCATGTTACGTGGGTCCCTGTCACCACGGCAAGGCGCGTCCTCAGGTTGCGGATGGAGGAGACGGTCTCTATATATGGAGGGTAGCGGCGAGAAAGCAGTCGCGGACAGCCGACAAGGGGTGATCCTCCAGCTGGGAGTTGGGCGTGGCGCTAACAACTCCTCACTGTACTTGTACTCTTCTCCAAGTATAATTATAATTATCAGTCCAAAGTGAGTGAGATTGACAGGGCATGTAGCAGTCAAGGAGAAGGGTAGTGCCTGTAGGATTTTGGTGGGGAGAAGGAGGACCTATACGTAGGTCGAAGGATAATATTAAGATGGATAGCCCCTCATGTTCGCGTCGTTTTTCCAATATAAACACAGTATGCTGTCACAAACGGCAATGCTTCAGACGTACATCCAGAAGGTGATGGGTTCGAGTCTTGGCCGGGGAAGGCGGTAATCCTAACTAAAGTGTTTCGTGTTTTACCTCAACCCCTCGAAGTGAATTCAGTTTTAGTACCTCAAATGAGACCACGGGCGCCTCCTTCCAGTCCGGCTGCCCACAGCGTGCTTAAATAAACCACAAAAAGGTGAATATTTGTACTCAGGCAGATATTAACAAGTAAATTGCTTACTGATTCGTTGATGTGGGGCCCAATCGATAGACAGAATCACAGAATTGGAATGTGCATTGAAGAGTGGCACACTCGTCTGTGCTGATGCATTTGCGGTTAGTGCATTCTTGCTCTGAGCGCGATAAACCGTTTTTGGGGTTGAATTCTGTGGGTGCGAATCAGATGATAATGCAGGGAGCGAGAGGGGGGGGGGGCTGGTGGCCAGTGTGCAGTTAGACACACAGAGCTCATGGATAGTCCACATAACCTCACCCTCTGACCCCTCGGTAACTGATACACATCTACACAAACAAATAAAGTCCCTATACTGGTGACCACTACTGGTCTACTCAGCATCTAACAGAAATGAGTACCAGGAATCTTCCTGTGGGTAAAGGGCGGCTGGTGCGTAAGGCTGACAACCTCAGCGCCATCTGTGAGCCGATTGTCTAGAGAATAAGTGGGAGCCTCGACGTCTCACAATGCTATGGGCTTCAGCGGTCTGTTACAGAGATAACTTAGCATCAATAGGCGCCCGTACCAACTTCTGAGGTGGGATTGTGTCTTGAAGAGTGCAACGAAGAAGACGTACAAACTTGAAGCCCAGGATCTTTACTTCCGTTTTGAGCATTACGAGTTTATTTTTCTGTGGGCCACCGAAACGCACGCTCACTATCATGAACACACAGCGTCATGTTTGTTGTTTTTACGGAGAAGCAGTGTTTCCTGTGAGGTACGGACTGAATTCTTGTATATTATTTTTAAAATGAATTAAAACAAAATTTTACATTCAGGCTTAGTAATACACGCGATGTGATGTGATACATTAAAAGGAGACAGCGAAGTGACACAGATGAGTAACGTTGTTCGCATTGTCTGACTGTTCGATAAAAAGAGAAGGCTGTTGTCCACGGACCCAGTACTCATGACAGTTCTACTAGAAATCGCAGCTACTGCAGACAATTTCCGCTATCTCTTTTCAGCCTGAAAAGGGTTAAAGTTATTCAGCATGGTCAAGAGATCACAGTATGAGCGACAAACTGAGGTTATGTATAACATTCCTTGTTCCTTCCCTCATTTTCGCTTGACATTTCTCGTACTAACATGACGTCAGCTCTACTGTGCAACCATTACTCACCGTCACCTGCTGATAGCGTGAAGTGATGACGTAACTCTTCCATCCGAGGCATGGCTCCAAGAGCAAGCGTCACGTCGCAGAGTAGATGCACAAAGACTGAGCTGGCGAACTCTGTTATTTAGAGGAACATACAACATCGTCTGCTCTTGCACATAGCACAACAATATCTGCTGTTACTCGTGAGTATAGTAAGCGCATGATAACGCACGTGACACGTGCCACCGGCACTCATTTTACGCGCTAGCTCTAGACTTGTCAAAATGTCGTTACTGAAGGTTTTGGTGTAAAGGTTGTTAACCCTGTGAGGTTTACGGTTGCTGAGTTGTGACATCAAGCAGTATAGTCGTTACCGACCTTTCGGAGCAGGCTGTTGCCTACATTTTAAGAATAAGTAAAACGTTGAAGAAAGCAGTCTTCTGGGATTTGGCACCGTGTATATGTGGTGTTAACCGACGTTTCGGAGGAACGTATCGCCTCCATCTTCAGGGTAGAAGAAAAAATATATAAGACTGTCTGCTTTTACCGGTTCTCACGGTCTCTCCGCTTGCAGATTTCTTATATATTTTTTCTTCTACCCTGAAGATGGAGGCGATACGTTCCTCCGAAACGTCGGTTAACACCACATATACACGGTGCCAAATCCCAGAAGACTGCTTTCTCCATAGTCACCGCCGTGAAAGCCTCAAATCTTACAAAGTAAAACGTTCCTAAATTTGAGAAATAGAAAATGAAAACAAAATTTAGTATGAAGATGAGAGCTGCATGTTCCTCTGAAACTTATGTAACAATCTAGCAGACTGTGCGATATCATCCCAGACGATGTAAGTCTCAGTTATTAATCCGGATTTGTGTTAGCAACGATAGTCCAAGCTAGATTTTCGGATCCCTGATCGATTATACTACTGAAATTATTTTCATGATTTTTCCCGGATTACACAAAACGTTCAGTGGGACGCTGCCTTCTATTGTTTGTCTAAACCATCATTGAGAGTACGTCACACATTTCTTAGGCAACCTTACGGACGAAAACTTCTGTGCGTTCAGAAAGGTCTCTGATACGGAAATTTTGGTTCCAGTCGTTTGCTACAAAGGAATCTAGTAATTTTCTAATGATGCTGTTAAAACAGTTGTACATATAGTTATCATTCTCTTAAAATCTCTATTTACTTTCCTTTTATATTACAGTCCGTTTGCTACACGAGAATGTGAAGTATCAGCGAGTCCCTTGTTATATGGGATCCGTGTTCACAGAGCAGTTAGTAGGAGATGCAACAGATGTCGCAAGCTCCTGTCGGCCTGACAAGGATGTCTGCATTAGGTGGCAGCACCGCTCAAGGCCCTAATACCGAATAAATATAAAGCACATACTGAACACATAGGGTGCTGAACAAAGAACATTTTCCATATGGTGAAACTGAAGATGAATTTCTTATGGGTGTTCCTTAAATTAATATATTTTTCAGCTGTGAAAATCGCATTTTATCGTGAGAATCATACGGAACACAAAAAATCATAATTTTAATATTAAAGGATGTGGTGCAAACTATAATCACCGCTAGTAGTTACTATAGGATTCTGACGTTGGTGTATAACACACAGAGATACTGGGTTTTCGGACTTTATTCATCGTCCTGGTTTTTAAGATAACTAATAAAAACACGACGTTTAGGAAACTGGATCTGTTTCCGTCCTCAGGTGAGGGATAACACCTATTCTGTTGAGTCCGTTAGAAAAAGATAGTCGCAATCAGTGGACAACCGATGTCACAAAACACGAAGATTATAAACACCTGAGACCAGGCTAAGTCCATGAGAGCTAATAAGAGAAATATTCATAACAAATTGTTCCAAACAAATAGAAGCGTGGAACCAGGATAGATAGAGCTGTAGAAATTTATGCCACAAACCAAACTAATAACCAGGTCCATGACCCCACGGCATGGAATAGAAAGGAGAACTAGTGAAAAAAAAACTAATAGTGTCTAACTAGCGTTAACATTGGAGTAAATCACGTCTATCTAATTTAGAACTTAATAGAAATGAATGAAAGCATATATCACGTCATACAGATCTTTTATGTGAATTGGTGACTTCATTGCTGATAATGGGGATCCAAACTGGGTTGGCTAATTGGGTTGGCCGAGCATGCCATATGGGCCACTTCCTTGTGTTTCCTCTACCTGATGAGGCTTTCAATATCCAAAATCTTAGCTTCATCCCAGCCTACCCTGTGTCCCTCTTCATAGGCATGTTGGGCTAGTTTAGATTTTTCTTGAAGACCTTCTTTTAGGTTATGCCTATGTTCCCGGAGCCTCACGGCCAGAGGTCTGCCTGTTTCGCCAATGTAGCTTCTGCCACATTCACAGGGAATGCTATAGACGCACTGTGCCGTCTGTTGCGGATCTCTTTTCGGTCTNGTCCGAAGAAAGAGGAAAACACTCTGTGTTCTGTTTATATTCCATATGTGAAGGGTGTTTCTGAAAAGTTTAAACGGATAGGTAATCGATATAATATTAGGACCATCTTCCGTACGAAACACACACTTAGGAACTCCCTTATGAAAACTAGACCGAAAAGAGATCCGCAACAGACGGCACAGTGCGTCTATAGCATTCCCTGTGAATGTGGCAGAAGCTACATTGGCGAAACAGGCAGACCTCTGGCCGTGCGGCTCCGGGAACATAGGCGTAACCTCAAAGAAGGTCTTCTAGAAGAATCTAAACTAGCTCAACATGCCTGTGAAGAGGGACATAGGGTAGGCTGGGATGAAGCTAAGATTTTGGATATTGAAAACCACATTAGGTATAGGAAATACAAGGAAGCGGCCCATATGACATGCTCGGCCAACCCAATTAGCCAACCCAGTTTGGACTTTTCTCCCATTTGGATCCCCATTATCAGCAATGAAGTCACCAATTCACGTAAAAGATCTGTATGCCGTGATATATGCTTTTATTCATTTCTATTAAGTTCTAAATTAGATAGACGTGATTTACTCCATTGTTGACGCTAGTATGACACTATTAGTTTTTTTTACTAGTTCTCCTTTCTATTCCAGTTTGGTTTTGTGACATAAATTTCTACAGCTCTATCTATCCTGGTTCCAAGCTTCAATTTGTTTGGAACAATTTGTTATGAATATTTTTCTCATTAGCTCTCATGCACTTAGCCTGGTCTCAGGTGTTTATAATCTACGTGTTTTGTAACCAAGACTTACTGACTGACTGACCGTCAGTCGCAACGTAACTCTGACTCTAACATCGGTTGCCCAGAGCGACCACAGATTGAGTCTAGCTCTTTCTAACGGACCCAACACAATAGGTGTATCCCTCACCTGAGGACGGAAACAGATCCAATTTCCGAAACGTCGTGTTTTTATTAGTAATCTTAAAAACCAGGACGATGGATAAAGTCCGAAAACTCGATATATCAATGTATAATTACCGCTGTTTGCTGATACAAGCGCCTAGAGGAAAGGAATGAGTGAGACGAAACAAACCACACTTTTTACAGCCACCAAATCGATACACCCTGTATTTGCTGAAAATGTAATATCGTTATGTAAAAGGACTCAGTGGCTTTCTTATTGTCACTGGGATGGCGATGAAAGATCAACTGTGCTAGCATTTAACACCATTAACCCTTGGAACGGTGCCATCCTCTCTCTGCAGGTAGGAAGTCGCGCCCCTACTGCTGGACTTTTGCCAGGCAACGGTCCTCGGAAAGCATAATTCATTATTCTCACAGAGCGCGGGAATAAAAACGTGTTGTTCTGCCATTTTGAGAGGGAGGGACCCACCCAACTCGTTTACATCCCCATGGCAAAGCACCAAGGACCACGGGAAAGTTACCTGCCAGAGACACAGACAGAACCAAGTGGGAGCTGGGAATGCAACACGACCAAAGGACGTTGAAACAGATGTAGCGTATCAGAACTTCTGCTGTAATTTCAGTTATTTCGTTGGAGAGATGTTATCACTTTCAAGTCAGGAGTGCACAACTGTCGGGTCAGAAGCTTCATAAAGAATCGTGAAGCGAACGAACAGGAGGAAAGGAGAAAGTTTCTTCCTAATATCTTGGCTCAGAAAGGGCTGAACATGATCCCAATGTTTTTTTTTGGGGGGGGGGTCGAAATATTTCTTACAAGTTTACGCTGAAACAACACTGGGTTGTCCTAAAGTAGTCAGGATAGAAAAATGGTTTTGTATAATTTTAATTTTTATTATTGTTTGGTACATTCCCTTTATTCTTCAGTTTTGTTTCCTCTTCAGGAATCCGTGGTGGGGTGACATACTTGACCCCCCCTCCTTGAAAGTTCATAGGTCTCTCTGTGTGGGGTCTGAGGGACTGAGACCCTGTAATTTAACAAAAGGTTTCTGAAACTTCTACAAAAGTGACGACTTGTCAGGAATGGTATGTTGCTTGAAAATTGTAAATGATTTGGTGAATTACAAAATTGATTTTATGATTATTTCGGAAGTGGTGGTGCATTACACTTTAAAATTCACAACAAGTTTCTTCTCAAGAATAAATGTTAAATATATATACTTACTTACTCATGGAGCTGACCCCTTCTTGAGGAGTCACCAATTCTGCAGCTACTCAAGAATTTCCCAGCATTTTATGGAACCCGAAGGTTCATCACCGTGTTCGCAAGAGCCCTCCAATGGTCCCTATCCTGAGCCAGATCTATCGAATCCATACCAACCAATCCTATCCCTCTAAGATCCATTCTAATATTGTCCACCCACCTACGACTTGGTCTTCCCTGTGGTCTCTTTCGTTCTGGCTTTCCCACCGATATCCTATGCGCATTCATCGTCTCCCCCATTCGTGCTACATGACCTGCACACCTCATCCTCCTTGACTTGATCATTCTAATTATACTTGGAGAAGAGTACAAGTTATGAAGCTCCACATTATGCAGTTTTCTCTGACCTCCTGTCACT